TTATGTCATTTGCCATTTTCATCATTCCAACTCAGGCAACTGGGGTCACTAAGAAAATTTCCCCCTAGAGAACTGCACAGGTCCAGCTGCCCACACATTTACCTTTTAGGCCCAAAAGAAAGAAGTGCATTTCACAGACAAAAAGGCCAAAGCGTTCACTGGAAAACAAAACCAGCCATCAGTTGAAGCTTCTTTGATGGCTACATGTTTATCTTTACCTGCTGACAGGTCATAGAGAGCAGTGACAGACGTTATGAACTGGCAGCAGAATCGAGGGCTCGCGCTGAATATCTGCTTCAGTGTCTGAACGGAGCCCGGCACCAAACAGCAGTAGTCATCCACCAGGGCTCTGGCGAGCCGCACACAGTAGACCACAGGCGTCCGCTGGAAAGAATCCATAGGCCACATAACTACAGGTGTTGGGAGCTAGCAGGTAGCAACTATGCACAAACAATGAGGACCACCAGAACTGGCAGAGCCACTTCCCAGAATGTAGAAAGATGTTAACAGCTTCCTTTGAGGCAGGAGCCAGCAATCTAAAGTCCACAGGCCAGATCCACTCCACCTCCTGCCTCTGTGAATAGAGTTTCGTGGAGACATAGTGTGCTCACTTGCTTGTCTACTGTCTAAAGCTGCTCTTGCATTGCAAGGGCAGAGCTGAGTAGTTGCAACAGAAATTCCATGGCTTCCAAAGACTAAATTATCTACTTAAAGGGTCTGCCAACCGTCCCTTTGAAGTTTACTTAGGAAAGATGATTTCTGACTTCAGATGAGAAAATGACAACTTTTATAACCCTACAGGATTCCAGGCGAGACTCTAATAGGTAAAAATTAACAGTTGCTATCACTTTGAAAAGATTTAGGAGTCTGTGAACTATCAAATAAGGAAGATGCTTCTGCAGAGCAGCACTTCCCAAATTCCTCTTCCAACCGTACTCTCTTTGATAGGTTCCTCTAATAGTTTTGAATCCTGTATCCTCACCCTCCCCTGCCTTTTTCTCTTCCCATGTATAAGCCTGTCAGCCACTCAGGCCACACTCAGCAGCTGCTAAGGAAGCTGTAGCTCCAGGGCACAAACTTTGGATTGGGAAGAATTAAGGCACATATTTCACTGTGACTTACCTGTGCACTACACCTAACAGTATGTTTTTGCTAGCCAAATTTTATGGATAAGTAAAATTACCCTTTAAAAATATTCAATTAAATTGAAAAAGCACAGATTTCAAGTACTTGGGGATGAAAGAGTTTTATAGAACTGAATGTAGTACATTCTGGTAGCTTGGCTAAGAAACACATTCACCCAAATTTTTGCTCAACAATCACTCCAAAAGTAGAGTACCACACTGCCAGGCATGGTGGTGCATGCCTGTAATCCAAGCACTCGGGAGGATGAGGCAGGAAGATCGTTGAGAGTTCAAGGCCAGCCTGAGCTACAAAGTGAGTTCAAGACCAGCCTGTACTGCATAGTGAGACCCTGTCTTTAAAAAAAAAAGGTAGAGTAACACAAAAATAAAAAAATGCATCTTCCAAAATACTTCCTAACACGAAATCTATTGTAAATATATACTCTTTTCCTTCACTGTACCTATTAAAAGTCATCCACTGTATGATGTCACCTTGGAACTGTATAAAATAATTCACATGCTTACTGACCTAACTGTATAGACAATAATCTAATAAGAGGTAAGCACTGCTATAACTTAATAGATAATAATTTTTTAAATCTCACCTTAAGACTGCATACATACAGTTTTCAAAATCCTATTTTATTTTCCTCTAAAAGATTTCTCACTTGGTCTGAAGATGGGACTTTTTTGTTTAAAATAATTTATGTGGGCATGGAAGCACACATGTGCACGTAATCTGGAAAGCTGAGGCAGGAGCATCACAAACTTGAGCCCAGCCTAACTTAGTGATTTAGCAAGACCCTCTCTCAAAATAGAAAAAAAAAGCCAGAGATATAGGTTAGTGTAAAGGCCCTGGGTTTAATCCCAGGTAACAAAAAAAAAAAAAAGTCCTCAAAAACTAGCTGGGTGTGGTGCCTGTAATCCCAGCACTTGGGAGGCTGAGGCAGGAGGATCATTGCAAGTTCGAGACCAGCCTGGGCTACAAAGTGAGCTCAAGGCCAGTCTGAACTGCACAGCGAGACCTTATCTCAAAAAGACAAAAAAAAAAAAAAAAAAATTATAATGCTCTGCAAAACCCAGGAGGATTCTATGTGACTGGGTGGCCTGGTAGACTTTTCCCATATTTTGAATATTTTGTGCCTTTTTTTGTTGTCACTTTCTTTGTCATCTGTCCTACTATAGCACAAATCCTAGTGGGTCCCAGGATAGAGGGAAACACCCCTCATGCCCAACAGTGGTCCATTTTTATGTGAGACTCAAAATCAGGCCTCATCCCAGGGCACAGTCACAGAACTACTGATCACATGTGCTCATATAGTATATTACTGTGGCCACAAGGATATAGCAAAGATCTCATCTTTCTCCAGGTAGCTTTAAAAAAAAAAAAGAATGCTCTGTACATAAAACTGGGACTGGAATACAGGTATCAGCACACAGGGCAGCAATGATAAAGGACACACTGTAGTACATGTGGAAAACACCTCTCCAGAAATCCAATTAAATGAAAATTTCTGAAGTAAACTCATCCTCAGAGACTCCAGGGAGGAGGGCTATTCCAGAGCAATACCTGGAGCCAGGAGGCTGCACATTCCAAAACTGGGATTCGACACACAGCCACAGCCATGGAGACCAGCTTTCCCAACAAGCTCATCCTGCTGTCATCAGCTTTGTTCCCCTGAGGGCTGAAAAGCGATGAGAAAATAATCTGCCGCACAGAGTCCTTGGTTTGCTCCTGGAAATAATTGCACATGATTTCAAGAAGCTGAAGCTCCTGAAGTGAATTCAGTCTCTGTAAAACAAACCCAGGAAAAAGCTGTGAGAAACGTGGCTTTTGCGTGCTTGTTAGCTCACGCAGTAAGGTGGGGAATACATTATGCTCCCCAACGGGCTTTTCAGAAACCCAGGTCCCAGGGAGCAGGATGCTGAGGCTAACCTCAGGAAAAAGTCATATATCTCATTAGGTATCCTGGAGGAGTCATGATAACCCACACGGTTTAGGACTCTAGATAACAGGCCTTTAACGAGGAAAGTGGACAGCCCCCGAAGTCTTTTCCTTGAACACCGCTGGGTCGCAGCTGTCACTGCCTGCAAACCAGGCACTCCGCTGGGGAATGCCGCAGGACTGCAGGGCAGGGGACTGGGGGAGTGCTGCAGGAGTAAGGCCCAGGGCGAGCACGGAGGGGCTGGGCGAGCGCCTGTCACCCAGGGAAGAGCACGGCCGGAACAGGCACCTTGGGCTGCGCGCCGCGATCCTTGGGCACCTGGAACACGAACTCCTCCAGTAGCTCCACGGGTCCCTTGTCCACGATGGGCAGCGGCCCGCTCTGCAGCTGGCTGCTGAAGTAGATGTCCAGATGGTACAGCACCTCCTTGGCGGCGCTCAGCGCGTCGCGGCGCAGCAGCGAGTGGCGGATGTCGCTCATGGTGCCCAGGTGCCCCGCGCGCCCCACTTCCGCCCGGGCGCCGGGGACGCGCCACCGCCCGCGGAGACAAAGAGGCGCGGTCCGGCTTCCGTGCTGAACGGGGCTGGGCCGCGGCGCCCGCCTGCCCGCCCGCTACCTGCTGCCGGCCCGCTCAGGAAGCCATCGCCGCTGCCACCAGCCAGCGGACACCCGTGGTCCGACGGCAGCGCCAACCAGAGCTGCGGGAGCCGACGCCGCGCAGCCGAACGGCGGCAGAACGACAGAGCGAGGACGGCGGCCCACAGGGGCCAAGCGCAGGCGGCGGCTGCGCGCTCGCAGGAGGGCGCCCCCTGGCGGCCGCGCGCTGGGCAGGTAGCCCCGCCCCAGGACCGGGGTGAGCTGTGCCCCCCGCCACGCCCTCCACTGAGCGCTGGTGGAGGCTTTCCCAGGATCACAGACCTGCTGTAAGGGGCGTTCAAAGCCTTCGCATTTTGCCTTCACCGCTCTTTCCACCAGCCAGGACAGGGTATTTGCTGGGAGATGGCGGACTCGGGTTCCCTCCCAGCACAGGCTGTTCATCTTGAAATTGCATCGTTCTGAACCCACAGGTTTCTTGGACTGATGATGGCTGGTAAGGGGCTCCCGCCACCACCTACTCTGCCCACAGGGTTTCTGTTCCCGTCCTGTCCAGAGGCCTGGCCTTGTTGGCTGCTGGTTCCTTGGCCTAGCCTGAGATGCCTGTGGGAAACTTGGTAGCCTTCAAGGTCTGGCGCACCTGCTTCCTGCTCCTCAAAACCCTCCTGATGCCCATCAGCACTCTGTATAAGCCTCTTTTCTAGCTTCATCTCTCTCCACTGAACTAACTAGTGGTTTAACTTTGGAATTTTTAAACAAGTCAGAAAAGACTTGAATATGGCCAGAAGAGGCCAGTGGAGGGCAAGGCAGGTGGCACAAGTACAGCAAGTGCCTGCAGTAAAGGCCTGGGCTGGCACAAAGGTGGGCCTCAGTGAGGATGCGGTCATGGCTATGAAAACCCCCTGGGAGACAGGGATGGACGAGGGAAGGGCATAAAAAGGGTACAGCTGGGCACAGCCCCAAGGTGTTGAGTCTCTGAGATCCTGCTGCACATCAGGGGACATGGCTGTAAGGCCCCTCATTGTCCAGGTGCCCAGATTATTGAGATCAAGGACCCAGTGTTACCTAGAACCTTGGACAAGTAACCTTATACTCCCTCCTCCCAGGGCCTCAGGGGTTCTGGGTTCTAACAGAGAATAAACAAGTAGATCTCCCACAGCAGCTGGCAAAAATTAGTCACTCACTAAACACTGACTTTCCCTTTCCTTCCTTCCCTACTTGAAAGTAGGTTTATACACAGCAGAAACAAAAAGAGCCAACTTAAAAACACAGTAAACATCCAATAAGCAATGCCTAGAAGTACAACATCTGTATGTAGAAATAAATATATACTATATTTTAAAGGTAGTAACACTGTTTGCATTTATTTCTTCTTTCTCTCATAACATGGGCCTGCAGGTAGAAAGATCTCTTGGAGGTTGCTCCAAAGTCCGCGGGAGTAAATGTTCCGGTAGCTCTGGGATTCGGCTGATGAGGGCCCAGCCACCAGGGGGCAGTGCTGGCACCAGGCCCGGTCTCCTTTGCACCATTCGTTCGTGGTCTGATTGGTAACAGCCAGGTACACAGCAAAACACAGGTAGCCCCCCAGGAGGAAGCTCAGCACCACGATGAAGCCCAGCAAGAAGATAATCCTTGGGAAGGTCAGGAACAGGTACTGGAAGCAAAGAAGATGTGTGTTAGGAAATGGAGAGGGCCAGCCCTGACCTGTCTGCAGACACATCAGAGTGACCACCGTAGCCTCCCTTCTGCACCCAAATCTGACACACTAAACGTACATCAGACCCATAATCAGCACTGCCGAAAAGCCCCAGGATTATCTTGGTGTGTATGAGAGCTTACTCTGGGATAAGTGCAGTGTTCCTCTAGGGGAGGCTACTCAGAAAACAGGACTATGCCAGTTAGCTACTTGCAAAACAGATTAACACAGTCCTGAGTTCATGTATCAAAATAAAATCTAGATGGGCATGAGGAATCAATGCCTCTTAAAACAATCCAACCACAAAAATACATGCACAAGGATACACACCGGAGTTGACTCTTAACAGCCCCTCTTCCTCAAAGAAAGGAGTTAAATAAGGAACAATAAGAAAGGAATTACACATAATGAACAATAAACTCTGGGCTACTCACACTGTGGATTAATAAGAAGCCACTGTAAAATGAGTCAACTGCTCTGGAAAAGTGTAGGAGTCCTTTTCAAAACCTAAAATAGATTTTTATGACCCAAAATTACACTAAAGACTCGTTTTCACACAGATCTTGTAATCTGTTCATGGCAACTTTGTTTGTTAATAGCCTGAAACTGAAGGCTACTCAAATATCCTTTAGAGGGCATATGGAGAAACTGATACACCCAAAGCATGGAATCCTGTACAGCAACAAAAAGGAATAAATCACTGGTATCACCAATTTATATGGGTTGCAAGGGAATTATGCTGAGTGCAAAAAGCCAATCATAAAAGGGTATGTACTGCCTGTTATTTATGAAACATTTGTGAAATAACATAACTACAGAGAAAAGAAACAAGCTAATTGTGGCCAGGTGCTAGGGGTAGAGAAGAGGTGGACGTGGCTATAAAGTGATAGCAGAAGGGAGTCTGGTGACAGTATGTTTGAGCAACTTGATGGTACTGGTGGTTCCAGGTTACTCATGGGATAACACTGCACAGAACTGTATCCATGAGCATGTGTGATGTATCACCAGTGAACTCAGCTCTGTGGGCTGTGTCAACAGGGTACTGTGGTTATACAGAACATCGGCACAGGAGAAGGGGTGTTAGGAGTGGATGGGATTTCCTGTATGCCTCTTTGAAACATGCTTTAAATCCATTTCAAAGTAAGAGTTTAAAAGGAAAACACATATGGGCTTAAGGTGGTACACACCTGTAATCCTAGTATTTGGGAGGCTGAGGCAGGAGGAACATAGGTTGAAAGTCAATCTGAACTACATGCTGAGACCCTACCTCAAAGAAAAACCTAAAGAAAAAAAAAAAAAAAAAAAGAAACTGGCTTTAAAACTACATGAAGTCCTGAAATCAGACATGGAGGTACATCCCTGTGATCCAAATATTGAGAGACTGAGGTAGGAGGATTGCAAGTTGAAACCCAGACTGGGCAACACAGTAAGACACTGGTAAGGAAGGGAGGGAGGGGGAGGGGAGAAGAGAAGGGGGGGGAAGAAGGAAGGAAGGAAGGAAGGGAAGGAGGAAGGAAAGAAGAAAAAGAAAAGAAAAGAAAAGAAAGAGACAGAGAGAGAGAAAGAAGGAAGGAAGGAAGGAAGGAAGGGAGGGAGGGAGGGAGGGAGGGAGGGACTGCCAGCCTGGAGATGTAGTTCAGTGAAGGTCCTAGGTTTAATCCTCAGTGCTGAAGAAAAAAAGAATGAAGTAAATATTTATGCTGCAGTGACTGAAACTTGATATTTTTTTTTTTTTTAGTCTTTTTTAAGACAAGGTCTCACTATGTACTTCAGACTGGCTGTGGACCCACTATATAACTCAGGCTGGCCTTGAACTCACAGCAATCAACCTGCCTCAACCTTTTGGGTGCTAAGGTTATAGGCATGTGCCACCACACCCATAAAATTCGAAAACGTCATTCTATAAAAAAAGAAGCCAGTCCAAAAAGTCAGAGACTATATAGTTCCATTTATATGAAATGTCCAGAAAAGGCAAATTCATAAGGACAGAAAGTAAGACTAATGATGCCAGGACCTAAGGGAACAGGGAACAGAAGTGTTTCTTTTTGGGCTAATCAAACATTCTGAAATGAGACACTGGTGAAGGGAGCAAGTCTACTAAAACCACAGAGCTTCACATATTTAAAGGGTATAATGGCTGGGTGTGGTGGCGCACTCCTATAATCCCAGTACTTGTGAGGCTGATGCAGGAAGATCACTGTGGAGTTCAAGGCCCACATGGGCTACAAAGTGAGTTCAAGACCAGTTTGAACTGTATAGCGAAACCCTGTCTCAAAAAATAAATGAAGGGTGTATTTTATAGTAAGTGAATTTAATATCAACTTAAAAAAAAGGAATGGCTTCACTTTTTACAGGGAAAATACGGCTTTTCCAACTTGAATTCAGAAAACCACTGCCCATTGCATAATTACCTGAATAAGAAAGCCTATGTCCATAACCTGGAGCTGTCCGAAGTCATCGATGTACGTTTTCTGGTACAGGTCTGACACTATCACCAAGCGGACCAGAAATGCTCCACTCAGGATGGCCACGGCGGCTGCTGACGCGCTCAGCGTTAGGAGGTAGATGAGGAAGTACCTGGTGTTCCAGGCCCCAATGCAGTTATTTACCCAAACACAGTGATGGTCAAAACGGTGCACGCAGCGGTTACACACACCTGCACAGAAGGAACGGAGTCATGAGCTGGGCTTGTCCTTGACAATGCAGTGACACCATGCACACTTACTGAGGTTCTTACAAATTAAACACTGGCAGTATGGGGGAGAGGGGGAGGGGGAGGGAGGGATGCTGCCTCCAGAATCTTACAACTGCACTGTCTGAAATAGTAGCCACTAGCCAGATCTGGGTATTGAACATTGAAATATGGCTACAAGAAAAATCTGAAAGAATATTGAACTGACAAATTTATATACTTTTTCAATTTATCCAATTCTCTTCTCAATTCATGTGAATAATATGGAGGTGACGTAAGAGTGGTGAATTTATTTAACATGGACAAACATAGTTCTACAACTGATGGTTTTGGCTGGACATAGTGGTGCGTGCCTATAACCCCAGTACCCTCGAGGCTGAGGCAGAAAGATCACCAGAAATTCAAGGCCACTCTGATCTACATAGTGATGTCAAGACCAGAGCCTAGAGCACATAGCAAAACCCTGTCTCATAAAACTGACCAAAACAAACAAACAAACCTGATGGTTTAGCTTAAAGTCAAGTCAATTCTCATAAAGATGTATCATTATATCAACATAGATGTGCACAATCAAAGAAAATGTCATAGTACTTGATTCATTTATTAGAGAATTTAAGAATATCTGGATATAGCCTGGGTATGTGAAAGTACTCTCTTCCAACTGCGAATTTTATAATCTCTAAAGATAGGCTAGGTATTTCCAGTGAGAATTCAGTACCCAAAGTGAGGTGTACTATAAATGTAAAATATATACCAGATTTCAAAGACTTACTGGGATAAAAAGAACATAAACTATCTTTTTTTTTAATTTCTTTGTCTTTTTTGAGGCAGGGTTTCACTATGCAGTTCAGGCTGGCCTTGAATTCGCTTTGTAGCCTGTGCTGGCCTCAAACTTCCAGCGATCCTCCTGCCTCAGCCTCCTGAGTGCTGGGGTTATAGGCATGCACCACTATGGCTGGTGCCATAAACTATCTTATAATACCTCTATAATGATTACATGTAAAAATTACATTTTAGGGCCAGGCATGGTGGTACATGACTGTAATACAGCTACTCGGGAGGTTGAAGAGGGCTGAGGCAAATTTGAGCCCAGCAGGGGCAATTCAATGAACTCTTGTCTCAAAAATAAAAAAGGCTAGGGATGTAGCTCAATGGTAGAGTGCTTGCCAAGCAGGCATAAGGCCCTGGGTTCAATGCCCAGCAATGTAAGAGGGGAATAAAAGATATTTTAAGTATGTTTGTTTCAACCGAATATATAATTAAAATTAAGTAACTTTCTTTTACAATATAGTGACTAGAAAATTTTATACCACGTGTGACGTTTTTGTTAGTCAATACTAGTGCAGAATCTTGGGCATTCTGCAGAAAACTAAGCTTGAGCAAACACAGCCACCCACAGAAGGATCTCCTGGGGAACGCACCCTGCCATGTGGCAAAGGAAGGGCTGAGGGCTGGCCACTATCCAAAACACTCAACCTTCTTGTCGTCCTCTGAAAGAAACCACTATCCGGTCTCTAACGAGAGTGGTCACCCCAAGGATGGGAATCAAATGCCTCTGCTTTGAGATTCACGAAACACTCTCTTCTGGCAAAGCCCACACTGACACTAGGGAAGGTACTGCTGGTGCCACGACAGCCACACTTACTGCAGTGCTTGGATCGAGCTGGTTTCTTTATACCACAAGTAGAGCAATTCACGTTCTTTGGAAACATCACGTCATCAAATTCATAAACTTGAAGATAAAATAATTCATTTGTTTTTGTTACAGTGCCTGAAAAAGTAAGAACAAATGTCAGCTTAAGCAATATGGTGGACTTAGCCGGGCGTGGTGGCGCACACCTGTAATCCCAGCACTTGGGAGGCTGAGGCAGGAGGATCGTTGTGAGTTCGAGGCCAGCCTGGGCTACAAAGTGAGCTCAAG